TGCCGCTACTGCTGCTACTGCTGCTGCTGTCGGTGGGGCTGTCACTGCCTCCATCGAAGTCGCCCCTTCCCGAAGGGGGCGACGGGGGAACGCTGCCTCCGTCCCCCGGAATCCCGTTGCCGGGTGCCGTCGGCGCCTCCTCGCGCACAAACGGCGTCGCTTGTCCTGGCCCACGAGCCTCCATCACGTCGAGGTCGGACTCATTCTCTGAGTCTCTCTCGCCCCCCCCAACCTTGGCGTGATGCATCCGCTCTGCTCTCGCCCTCCCCGCCCTCCTCGTCATCTGCGAGAGGTAGCATTGCGCGTGTGCTCGAGCACTTCTGGACGGGTTTCACCTGTCCCTTGGACATCTAACAGCCAAGACAGGGTAGCAGCGGTCCATCCGTCAGCTGCACTCTCTGCTGCTCCGCCGTGATCCTGAGCAATGTCTCATGGGCATGGCCCTGTGCGAGGTGGTACTCGTTGAGGTCAGTGGGGTTGGCCACGGCACAAAACGCCTGGTCTTCCACGGAGTCCACGTCGCTCTCATGCTCCACCACTTGCGCTAGGACGGCCTCCTCCGTCGCGCACTTTTCTTTGGTGTGGCCCCACCCCTCGCAGCGCGCACACCACGGCACGAAGTCCTTCTCATTGGTAGTGCAGCCGATCGCTTGATGTCCACGATGTTCACACCTAAAGCACCGACCCGGGAACTTATAGTCCCCGCCACCGCCGCCATCGGCGCCTCCACTGCGGCTTCCCTTGCTCTCCTCGACTCCTCCGGATCCGCCTGAGCGACCGCCGCNCCCGCGTCAACTCCTTCGCGTGTCGCAGGTTGTTCTTTGTCATGGCATACTCGTCCGAAAGGGCATCCAGGAAGAGGTGAAGGACGAACGTTTCGTTGACAGCTAGTATTTTCTCCGTTAAGGACTTTGCGGTTTGGAGCATCTCATTTAGGGCGTTTTCGGGGTTTTCACCTCTAGAGATCTGGGTCGACGTCAGTGACTTAAGGTCCTCTGACGGCTGTGCAGATGATTCAGGGTCGTGTATTGTCTTGAGCTCACGAAGAGCTCCCTGGGGCGTCTCTGCCTTCTTCATGATTTTCCGGTCTTCTTCCAATGCGTGAGACAGGAAGTTCCACGCGTGGATTGCGAGCTCTACTTGCTCGCTCCGGTACTGCTGTGACAGCGAAAACGTGCTCTTTCCGCTGTTGACGGGGATCTCCAAGCTCCCGCTCTCTATAAATTGTTCCAAAAGGTTTGCGACATTAGCTGCCATGTGGAAACCATTTAGCCATTCGTTGAAATCTTTCGATTTCCCGCTGAACGGTGGAGAAGTGTACCGCACACTTTGGTACCCCATCGCTGGGGTTGTGGCTCCGTATCCAAAGCCAACAGCAGCACCACCATCTCCCATGGCGCTACTATAATCTTGGTTGTGAGCAGCGCCTACTCTCACCTCTTGGGGGACAAAGCCCCCTGCTTCGCCGCTGTGTCGCCCTGACGGGCCAGACTCTCGAACAGGTTCGCGCAGGTACCTCCTGTCCTGCGCACTCCCGGTCCACGGTGCCCCTCCTTCGGCGTTTGTGGACTCCGCGGCGGCGATCTCCCTAGCATCGCCGCGATCAGCGGCACCATCCATGGTGCCAGCTGGCTCCTCGTTCTTGCTTGCCTTCATGGTATCTTCCACTAGCGACATTAGCTGGCTCATCTGATCCGTCAGCTAGCTAACTTGCGTCCTCAGGGCCACGAGCTCTTTCTCTTGACCCCTTTCTGTCTTCCGCCGCACAGTCGCTGGAGCAGTCACCCCCATCTTTACGACCTGACCTTCCTAATGGACTCTCCCTCGAGAGACTGACACTAGTGTGTTCGTATATATCCTTTACCTGGAAGGGGAAGACGTTTTATCTCTTGTATTAGACACGCAAGGGGAGTAGGGGGGAGTGAAGCCCTCGTTGGAGCTCGAGGGGTCCCCGCACATGCAAACATTTCAAGGTGTACATATGCCCAATGTGCGTGCCCTATGTTGTTGCCGGTAGATCTAACCAGTCCGTATCCCAACACACGAACATCTCGACCGCGACGATCTTCCTTTTCTATTCGTGTGGTCGAAACCCCATAAGCTCGACGGCTGTCGTTGTTGGGAGAATCTAAAAGCAATCACGTTCCGCATCCTTCACCGTCAGGGGCTGCGAACGGGGGGAGTCTGACGGCCACGTGTCACCCTCGGCTGTTTGAACCGCGGCACCGTGGCGTGTTTTGGCCGAAGTAGTGGCGACTTCGAGGGGCTCGCTGATATCTCGATTAATGCAATAACCGGTGTGTCTAATGGAGCCGCCAAAGATGGTCGCTTCCAAGCTGTTTTGATTTAAGCCGCCCCAACGACGTTGTAAAACAAGCCGCCCCCCCCGGTGTTGTGTTCATCAACGATCTGTTGGAAGTCGTAGAGGCAGTCCGGAAGGGAGTAAAAGTAGGGGACACGGAAACGTCGGTTTCAGGAATGCTGTTTGCGGATGATTTTGTCGGTATGTCGGACACCCCTGAGGGACTGCAACTGCAAATTGACGCGGCGAAGAAGTTTACTGATAAGTGGAGATTGTCT